TAATTAGATCCCATTTGTCAATTTTGGCTTTTGTTGCAATTGCTTTTGGTGATTTCGTCATAATATTTTTGCCTATGCCTATTTTCCTAAATGGTATTGCCTAGATTTTCTTGGAGAGTTTTTATAATTTTGAGTTTTACGTTTAAGTCTTTAATCCATCTTCAGTTGATTTTTATATAAGATGTAAGGAAAGGGATCCAGTTTCAATTGTCTGCATATGGCTAGCTAGTTTTCTCAGCACCTTTTTGTTAAATAGGAAATACTTTCTTCATTGCTTGTTTTTAAGTGATTGCTTTTTCATCTCTGATTTTTATTTTTGTCTTCTCTCTTTTTTCTTAGTCTGACTAAAGATCTGTCAATTTTATGTAACTTTTCAAAAAACCAAGTTTTTGTTATGTTGATTTTTTGTATTGTTTTGTTTATTTCAATTTCATTTATTTCTGTTTTGATCTTTGTTATTTCTTTTCTTCTACTATTTTTGGGTTTGGTTTGCTCTTGCTTTTCTAATTTTTTAAGTTGCAATGTTAGGTTCTTTATAAAGTTTTGTCTCCTTTTGATGCAAGCACTCATAGCTATAAACATCTCTGTTACTACTGCTTTCACGGTATCATATAGGTTTTGGTGCTTGTTCCATTATTAAGAAAAATTTTCCATTTGTTTTCATATAATACATATATTTTATTAATACATATATTTTACTGCATTTTAGGTTTTGAGGTACATGTGAAGAACATGCAAGATTGTTGCATAGGTATATACATGGCAATGTGATATTTGCTGCCTTCCTCCCCATCACCTGTATCTGGCATTTCTCCCCATGGTATCCCTCCCCAACTCCATACCCCCACTGTCCCTCCCCTAGTTCCCCCCCAACAGACCCCAGTGTGTGATGCTCCCCTCCCCGTGTTCTCATTGTTCAACACCCGCCTATGAGTGAGAATATATGGTGTTTGATTTTCTGTTCTCGTGCCAGTTTGCTGAGAATGATGGTTTCCAGGTTCATCCATGTCCCTACAAAGGACACAAACTCATCGTTTTTTTATGGCTGCATAGTATTCCATGGTGTACATGTGCCACATTTTCCCTGTCCAGTCTATCATCAATGGGCATTTGGGTTGGTTCCAAGTCTTTGCTACTGTAAACAGTGCTGCAATGAACATTCCTGTGCACGTGTCCTTATAATAGAACGCTTTATAATCCTTTGGATATATACCCAGTAATGGGATTGCTGGGTCAAATAGAATTTCTATTTCTAGGTCCTTGAGGAATCGCCACACTGTTTTCCACAATGGTTGAACTAATGTACACTCCCACCAACGGTGTAAAAGCGTTCCTATTTCTTCTCTAAGATGGTTATTCTAGTTAGCATTTCGTCTAACCTTTGTTCAAGGTTTTTGGTTTCTTTGCACTGAGTTAGAACATGTTCCTTTAGATCAGAAAAGTTTGTTATTATCCACCTTCTGAATCCTGTTTCTGTCAATTCATCGCACTCTTTCTCGGTCATGTTGTGATCCTGTGTTGTTGAGGAGTTGTGATCCCTTGAAGGAGAAGTGTTCTGGTCTTTGATGGTTTCATCTTTTTTGCACTGTTTTTTTCCCATCTTCATGGATTTACCTGGCTGTGGTGTCAGAGAGCTGCTTGATGAGGTCACTTATCTGCCTGTCAGGGCACTACTGGGTTTCTAGGGTCTCCTTCAGATTACGAGGGAAGCTTCTTCTGTCTTTTTTGTTTATACTGGGAGATTAGGCCCGCCTCTTCTGCTGACCTGTATGCGCTGTTGGTTGGTGAAAAACACTGTCCCGTTGTTGTGTAGGCTTCTTGTGTTTTTTGTTAAAACATGTAGCCCAGTCCCACCCCGCTGATGGTGGATTGTGCCCTTCTTCTACTGGCCTGGATCATTCTGCGTTCAGCTCAGACTGTGGCACTGGCTGCACAGCCCGCTAGAGTCAGAGCTTCAGCCCTCTGGAGTTTGTGGGGGAGGGTAGGGACCCTCCCAGCCGCACTGGGCCATCTCTCCCTTTCAGCTTACTCTCTCTCAGGTCATGGGGTAGGGCCCCGCCACACTGCTCCATCTGTCCTCCTGCTTACAGCTCCCTCTCTCTTCCGGTTGGGAGAGGGGCGATCACTTGGTCTACAGGCTCCCCTGGTAGACTTTTGGGCTTATGCATCAGTTTAGGTCTGGGCACCAATCTGGGACACCGTCCTGGATTATTACTGAACTCCACGCTTGTAATTCCTGGTGCTTGACTGGCAAAGATCTCCTGTTCAGTGTATTGCTGAGGCTTTGGGGGAAGTGCTGTATCTGGACGGGAGTGCCAGAGGGGGAGCCTCCAACTTGCGGGTGAGATGCACTTTCTGGGTGAAGCACACCCCTCCCCGCCTTGCTCTGCCTTGCCTGGGCTTTGCTCACTGTAGGACCAGACCCATTGAAATGCCCCTGGTACCTCGGTTGGAGCTAGGACATCTCTGGGTTTCTGCGTCTCTCTCACTGGGTGTTGTGTGCCAGAGTTGTGTCTATTCGGCCATCTTGGAGAGTCTCTGGGTCTTATTGTTTTTTAATTCATTCATCCAATTTATGTCTTTCGATTGGAGAGTTTAGTTATTTATATTCAATGTTTGTATTGATAAGTGAGGACTTAAACCTGTTATTTTGTAATTTATTTTCTGAATATTCTGTGGTCTTCTTTTCCTTCTTGTCTTCCTTTAAGTAAAGGTGATTTTCCCTGTTGGTATGTTTTAATTTCCTGCTTTAGTGTGTGTGTGTGTGTGTGTGTGTGTGTGTGTGTGTGTGTGTGTTTCCATTTCATGTTTTTAGATTTGAGGTTACTATGAGGATTTCAAATCTACTTAAGATATGGTAGTTTACACACCACAATTATAGTGTTGTAATATTCTATGTTTGCCTGTGTACTTACTATTATTAGTGAGTTTTATAAGATTCATTGATTTCAGGTGGTTTCTTATTGCTCATTAACATTCTTTTGTTTCATATTGAAGAACTCTCTTTAGCCTACCTTGTGGGACAGGTGTGGTATTGATTAAATTTCTTAGCCTTTGTTTGTCTGGGAAAGTCTTTATTTCTGCTTCATATGTAAAAGAAATTTGTCCTGGGAATACTATTCTAGGTTAAAAGTGTTTAAATATGTCATGCCACTCTCTCCTGGCCTATAAGGTTTCCACCAGAAAGTCTACTTCCAGATGTATTGCAGTTCCATTGTATGTTATTTGTTTCTCTTTGCTTGCTTCAGGGATGAATGACCTTTTCTTTATTTTTGATCTTTGTAAGTTTAATTATTAAGTTCCTTGAAGTAGCTTTCTTTGGGTCAAATCTGCTTGGTTTTCTATAACCTTCTTGCACTTGAATATTGATATCTTTCTTGAGGTTTGGGAGATTCTCTGTTATTTCTTTGAATAAACTTTCTGCCCCCGTCTATCTCACTTCCTCCTCCCTAAGGCCATTAACTCTTGGGTTTGCTTTATCAGGTTATTTTCTATATCTTGTAGGCATGCTTCATTCTTTTCTATACATTTTTCTTTTGTATCCTCTGCCTGTGTTTTCTCAAATAGCCTCTCTTCAAGCTCACTGACTATTTCTTCTGCTTGATAAGTTCTGCTATTAAGGGACTCTTATGCATCTTTCAGTAGGTCAATCACATTTTTCAACTTCAGAATTTCTTCTTGATTCTTTTTAATTATTTCAATTCCTTTGCTAAATTTATCTGATAGGGTTCTGGAATTTTTTTTTCTCTGTGTTATCCTGAATATTTTTGAGTTTCCTCAACACAGCTGTTTTGAATTATCTGTCTGAAAGGTCATATATTTCTGTCTCTCTAGAATTGGCCCCTGGTGCCTTATTTAGTTCACTTGGTGAGGTCATATTTTCCTGGATGATCTTTATGTTTGTGGATTATTGTCTGTGTCTGGGCATCGAAGAGTATTTTTTGTAATCTTCACAGTGTGGACTTGTTTGTACTCATCCTTCCCAGGGAAGGCTTTCCAGGTATTCAAAGAGATTTGGGTATACTGTCTATGCTTTTAGTCACTGCACCCATATCTGCATTAGGGGTCAGGGACTCTAAGCCCATTAATTCTGTCATGTTTGCAGCCTCATAGAGACATGCTTTTGTTGGTTGTTCAGTAAGAGCTGGAAGAATTCTCTAAATTACCAAACATAAACTCTTGTTCTCTTCCCTTACTATCTCCAAAATGAATGGAGTCTGTCTCTGTGCTACCTGGGGCTGAGGGAGAATTTAAATAAGCACCTCTGTGTCCACCGCCACTGGGATTTCACTGCATCAGACTTGAAGCCAGCACACCACTGGACCTTGCCCGAGGCTTCTGTAACTATGACCTGACTAATGCTTTTGTTTGCTAAAGCCTGTGGGGCTTAGGGCTATACAATCAGCTGTGGTGAAGTCAGCCAGTCTTACGTTCTTCCACTGGGGAAGTGAGAGTTTCTTCAGGCCCCAAGTGGGGCCACATATACTGTCCAGAAGCCAGGGCCTGAACCTGAGAAATCTACCTGGTACTGCAGCTAAACTGGCACTAAAACCACAAGACAAAGGCCTTTCCAATCTTCCCTCTCATTTCCCCAGGCAGAAGAATCTCTTCCCATGTCCACCACCACCACAGACCTAGGAGGAATCCTGCCAGGATGCCACCAATGTTCACTTAAGGCCCAGGGGCTCACGTTTTAAACATTTGTTTTGTTTGTAATGGTTTTGTTTATTTACATTTGGTGGATAGATTTGTGAGTGAATGTTTGGCATGTGTGTTCTTCTTCAACCTGCTGACATCTAGTATCTCACCAGGTGGTTTCCTGAAGTTTTAAGAATTAGGAGTATTTATTAAAGAAGCAAATATCCTGCTAAAGATTAAGCTTCCTTTAAATTCACAATTTATAAAATAAAATGAAATATTAGTTTTAATCTATTTTTATAAAGATTATAGTTTAACTGTTCTAAGTAGTTAATTTTAACTGAATGTATAATTTTTTTCAGCAGAACAAGTCTTAGCAGTGATATCAGAGGAAGAGCAAGAAAGCCTTGAAGAAAGTGAAAACAACCAGCTACAAGTATGCAACAATTTCATTTAAATTTCTGGTTGACTATTATGTTCTTTGCTTTAATAATGTAGGGTAGTCCAAATGAAATTGCCTTTTAGATTAGCCTTTGAGAATCAATAGATCCTAACTTACTATTTACTATTAATATTTATATTTACTATTTAAATATATTTTAACTAGTTTTAAAACTTAAAATATTTTAAAAATCTGTAGTAACTTATAACTCATTTTTACCCTTGGAATAGAGAGAAAAAATTTTCAGAATTTTGTTTACTCTTTCATCTTTATAACATGTTTGTGTAATGAAGAAAATAGCATGAATTATTGAATCATATTATTGAGCAATAGAAGTTATGAACAATTTAAGAGTGATGGCCATTGAGCTGGATTTGTGTTACAGGAGTCATGATGGCCAGTGGTTCAAAATTTGCAGCTTTATATTGCCAGTCACTAATGCCAAGGTTAAAGATTTATTCTGTCTTATGGTCTCTCATTGACTTCAGGTCATATTTAGGAAGAGAACTGGGTCATAAAATCAACATAACTGTTTATTATGAGAATCATACTCTGCAGATTGGGACCTTTGGTGTTTGGATATGAACAATAACTTTCTAACATATTTCAATGCAGGAAATCAGTAAATAGTACACAATTTTTCATCTACCATCATTGGTGGATATTAGAATATATTAGAAGTGGACATAAGCAGATAAACTAGATACATAAGAGTGTCAGCCGGGCGCAGTGGCTCACACCTGCAATCCCAGCACTTTGGGAGGCCGAAGCAGGCAAATCACAAGGTCAGGAGATCAAGACCATCCTGGCTAACACAGTGAAACCCCGTCTCTATTAAAATTGCAAAAAAAATGAGCCGAGTGTGGTGGCACATGCTTGTAGTCCCAGCTACTTTGGAGGCTGAGGCAGGAGAATTGCTTGACTCCAAGAGGTGGAGGTTGCTGTGAGCCAAGATTGCTCCACTGCACTCCAGCCTAGGTGACAGAGAGAGACTCTGTCTCAAAAAAAAAAAAAAAAAAAGGAAAAAAAAAGAGTGTTATAATATATAACTTGAATTAAAATTTGATGATTTGCTTTTCTTTCTGATTGGTATTGATTTTGGCTTCCAACAAAGTCTGCCTACAGTCCAGTTAGTAATCCTTAGAAAAAATACTCAAATACACTGTGCATGCTGACTAGTTAGGGTATGCTGAGGTAAAATCTTTTCAAGTCAGGACACTTTGTAGCATTACTAATCATCTGATAATTCATTTTTTGGTAGATTTAACACAACATGAATTTAGTCCAAACAACAGTGCCAAAGTTAAGTTTGCTGGTTTATTTTTTTCTTGCAATTGTAGCTAAGGCAAATTATTTTTCACTTCTTCCTGTGATTTGGGAGTAGCTAAACCTACATTAAGAAGTTTAACAGGTAAATTTTAATTAGTTTAAACATTTTTTGTTATATTTTATTGGGAATAAAGTTGTTTTAAAAAATGCTCTGTGCTGGGCATAGTGACTCATGCCTGTAATCCCAGTACTTTGGGAGGCTGAGGTGGGAGAATTGCTTCAGCCTAGGAGTTCAAGACCAGCTTGGGCAACATGGTGATGTCCTGTCTCTACAAAATGTTAAAAAAATTTAGCCAAGCATGGTGGCATGTGCCTGTGTTTTCAGCTACATGTGAGGCTGAGATGGGAAGATCACTTGAGCCTAAGAGGTTGAGGCTGCAGTGAGCCATGCTTGCACCACCGCACTCTAACCTGACAACAGAATGAGACCTTGTCTCAAAAAATAAAAATAAAAACATGTACCCTGACAAAGATAACTTCTGAGAAACAAAACAAACAAATTAATTTTCCCTTTTGCATCTGCCAAAAATATCTCAAGAACAAGAAATAAATAAGGATTAGATAGAGAAGATATGTCTGTATATTAAGGACTTTTTTTTTTTAACTGTTTCATATATCACTTGGTATATGAACAAAGAACATTCAAAATATGGTCTCTGAACTGGCTATACATTTTTTCCTTACCTTTCAGTAGAAATAATAAACTAACCTCTCCATTAATATAAAAATAAGATTAAATCTTATTTTAAATCTGAGTAAATGTATATTAAATGAGGCAAATTAGAGTGGGAAAATAAAACTTCTCACAAATAAGTTAAATCAGAGGTTTGATGGAATCTGTGAAATTATGAAATTGCTGCTTTTACTTAGGAAGAGCCAGTCCATGATAGCTCAAAAGGAGGAACAAACATAAAGGAAATTCCTTCTAATTTGACAGATAATAGCTTGTGAGGAAAAAGATGTATATGGAGTGCCTGTTATCTCAGGCCTTTTGTTGAACACATAGAACCAGTCTCAAAAATGTGTTTCTATCTTATCCATATTCTGGGTTTTTGGTACATGTTTGCCAGGCAGCTTCTAAGCTTTATTTAAATGAAAATAAATTAGACTGTGAAAATAACAAACCAGACAGTGAACATGTTTTTGACATAGATGAGGAGAATTTTTATGATACTCTAAGAAAGTAAGTTGTTACAATAAAAATAAACGAAGGTCAAGAGCTTGATATGCAAATGACAAAAAATATGACCAAGACCAAGGTACCATAAGGCACCAAATTAGACATCAGGCATATGCCTCTGTCTAGTGAGCCAAAAGGTCAAAACCCTTGCTACTAACAAAACATGTTCTAGTTGTTGGAAGTGATTTAATCTTATTTTTGTATTAATGGAGAGGTTAGTTTATTATTTCTACTGATAGGTAAGGAGAAAATGTATAGCCAGTTCAGAGACCATATTTTGAATGTTCTTTGTTTTACTTTTGACAAGAGTAACAGTCTGCTCCAAGTAGTGTCTAATTTCAGTGCAAAGAGCTTTGAACACAATGGTATGCCACAACATATGCTTAGTGACAATTTATTAATATGTATTTTATTCCTAGTGAAATAGTTCATATATTTCTCCATTTCACATTTATTACTCTTTCAAACATTATAAAGAGGATATAGAAGTTACTGCAATGGCAAATGATTTTATAACTTTCTAAGAAAAGCTCTATAATTTTATCTTATTTACTATTGGTGTTTTGAAATAAAGAAAAAAAAGCTTCTCTTTGTATTTATTTACACTAAAGAAATAAATGTGATTTGGTGGAGGAGCATTAGAAGTAGAGTCAGAAAACCTGGGGAAAATCCTGCAGCTTGCTTAGTTTTTGATCACTTCTTTGCAGAATTGTGATAATTGAGTTCAGTGATGTATATAGAAGTGCTTAGTAAGATGCTTATATTTAGCATTTATGCATGAATGCCATTCTTAGGACTGACTATAAAAAAGATACAAAAATAGAATATCTGTAGAATATACTCAGGAAAAAGAAACTTAAAGGACTTTGGGAAATTTCATCTGTCCAAATATATGCAGAGCTAAGGCTCTTAGTATATGGTGGAATATAGCTTAGATATCAAAGTATAAACCCTATATTTAATGTAGTAAATTTTTAAAGTCTTTTATGCCTTTGGGTTTGTTGTTGTTCTGAGAAAGGTTTTTCCAATTTTGGGAACCTTACAAATCCTCTAGTACTTTCTCTTTTACTTGTATGGATTCATTGTCTTCAAATAAATCTTTGATCTTTGGAGAATTTATGCTGTATGAGGTTTGAAGTTTTAATTCAGCTTTTTTTCCCAGTTAGATATTTATTTGTGGCAATGCTTTCATTGTATAATTGTACATGATATTTTTTAATTTCCGAGAAAATAATGAGATGACATTGTATCGAATACTAGCTAGAAGTTTTCTTTGTTTATTTAGATTTCTCATTGGCATAAGAAAGAAAAAGATCTGTTGCATGAAAATTGCATGTTGCAGGAAGAAATTACCGGACTAAGACTGGAAATAGACACAAAGGAAAATAGGAACCAGCAAAAGGAAAATAAATATCTTGAGGACATTGAAATTATGAAAGCAAAGAATGATTTCCTTCAAAATGCTTTGACACTGAAAGAGGAAACATTAACAACAACGATATGTCAGTACAGTGTACAGCTTGAAGTTTTGACAGCTGAGAATAAAATGCTCACTTCTAAATTGGAGGATAAAAATCAAAACCAGGAGAGATTGGAAACAGAAATTGAATCATATCGTTGTAGACTGGCCGCTGCTATACAGGATTGTGATCAACATAAGGCATCAAAAAGAGATGCAGAACTCGGTTTCAAGACAGCAAGACAAGAGTGGTTTCATTTGAAGGAAAAAATGAATTTTGATATGAGTAACCTAAATGATGAGAACAAGATGCTTTCTGAAAAACTTTCTAATGCTGAAAATAAAATCAGAAGCCTCAAAATGAAGTACCACCACATAAAAGATGCTCTAAGAGAGAAGACATTGGTTTTAGAAGGTATCCAAAACAAAGAAGGCAAAGTGAATAAACACATTCAAAAGCAAGACTCTCTAGAGGAGAGATTATCTCAAATACAAAATGAAAATTTGTTACTTCGACAGCAACTGGATGAGGCTGACAAGAAAGCTGACAATCAAGAACAGACAATAATTAATATCCAAGAGCAATTTATTGCTATTGTCAAAATTCAAGCTGAGAGTAAAAAGCAAAGTCTTCTACTAGAGCAGAAAAACAATGAATTAGTCAATAAATGCAATTACTTAAAAGAAAGATTGTGCAAATATGAAAAAGAGAAAGCAGAAAGAAATGTAAGTATTGTGAAAGAAAATATTTTTCAAGCTTCTTGAAAGAAAATGTAAAGTAATATTTGATTTTGGCTAAATAATGAGTCTCATTGAATATAAAGATATTGTAAACATATTTGCTATCTCAGCCTGGAAGCATGCTGGCAAAAAAGGTTAGACTAGAAAGATGCTTTACTTTTAGTAAAGAAATTGTGTCACCTATGAAACATTAAGAGGTTAAGTTACAGATTATTAATAGATATAGACTAATATAAATAATGTAGTCTTACGCTACTTAAATAATACTTATTTTATTTTATTTTATTTTTTGAGACAGAGTCTTACTCTGTTGCCCAGGCAGGAGTGCTGTGGCATGATCTTGGCTCACTGCAACCTCCGCCTCCTGGGTTCAAGCAGTTCTCCTGCCTCAGCCTCCCGAGTAGCTGTGATTGCAGGCATGTTCCACCACACCTGGCTAATTTTTGTATTTTTAGTAGAGATAGGGTTTTGCCATGTTGGCCAGGCTGGTCTCCAACTTCTGAGCTCAGCTGATCCCCCCACCTTGGCCTCCCAAAGTGCTGAAATTACAGGTGTAAGCCTCCGAAGCCGGCCTGAAATATTTTTAATGCCTTTATGTGGTCACGTTTTAAAACCATGATGAAATAGATAAATGGAAGTACTCATACCTGAAATGAATATTTTGAAATTAACATTCAATTTGGTGGGTGATTTCGACAGTTAGGTCCAGATTTCCCTGGTGAACTGAAGTGTACTGCTGTATCTCATAAGGCTTTCCCTCAGGAGCTTCTTATATATTGAAGTTGGTGTAGCTTTATTTTTATTCATGTTAATTGGACCTAAATCTAAAACTATCACAATCTCAAATTATTATCATGACCTCCCAATTCTTTGAAAGGATTCACTTTTAATTCAATATAATTTGGGACAGATGTGAATGTCAGTAAAACCATATTTGATTTTATCTTACCACTGGCATTTGTAATTTATTGTGAATGTTTTTACAAGTAATTTTTGCATAATTTTTATTTTGATTTGGATATAACTTTGTTGAGTACAAAGATAATTGTAGCAACCCGTGATTTCTTTGTTTGTCATGGGGTGTCCATGTTCAAACTAATGAGGGGTGACAGGATTCTCATATAGTGGGAATGGAGTGAGTAGGGGAGAGAGTGTAGGAGCTGAGATCAGGGAGGTGGAGGCAAGGTTATCAAGGGCCTCAAAGGCCATTGGAATTTTAGTTTTATTTTGAGATAGGAATCTATTGGAAAGATTTGAACAGGCAATTGAATAAAAAAGGAATTGTGAAGTTGATTTGAACTTCTAATAAATAAGAGAGAAAACATTTCAGAGTATAGAATTTACCACCACTAGTCTCACTCACCCATTGCTTTTTGAGACTACAGTAGATGATTAAGCATTGCAAGCTTAGGGGATGAATGAATAGTGGGCTGTATCTGTTGTTTAAGTAACAGAATACTGATTTGGCAGGAAACATCTTTTTTGTCCTTAACTGAATTCAGTAATGAACATTCCTGTTCGTTACGCATGAGGAAAAGAAGGTGAATTAATGTATGTGGTAATATTTTTCAAAGTATTTGTATTAAAGTTAAATCTTATGACCATCATTTAATAATAAAGTGACATAAAGTTAATAACAAAAATATCTTTACAGGAAACTGTGAGACAACTTCAAAAACTGGCTGGTATTGAAAAAAAAAAACCTATGTCAGAGTCTTCACTAGAGGCTTCACTGTGTTATCATGTTAATTTAGATGAAACACAGGACTCAAAGAGGAAATCAGGTCAAATCAGAAGTCAAGTATGTATAAAATGTAGCATGTCAACATTTAATCTATAGATGGTTAAATAATATGAAGTGGTTAGGATACTAATTTCAGTGAGCAGCTTTCTTTTGTATTTTCATTATAATTAATTTTATTGTCTTTATAATGTCTTTGTTTCTTAACCTCTTGACTTTTATTCTGTCACTTTTTCCTCTTAAGTATGTACATGTTTTTCTTATAATATTTACCTTTAGGAAAAGTTGGGAATTAGACATCATTTCTCACAAAAGTTGAGAGACTTTTTTTCTGGTGAAACTGTATTTTTAAGTGATTTTTCTCTATTATCATGGTGAGACAAGCCAAGTTAAATCAGAGGACAATATTTATTTCAGAAAATTATCTTATTTCTTATCTTCACTTCTGTGAATGGGTACAGAATCTCTGTATATTTCTTTCATGCATTTCAGGATAACTTGTACAGGAAAGACTATTACAGTGGTCTTCAAAATGCAAGTGTTTTAGATTAGTTTGCAAAATACTTAAAATGTTAGGCATTTCCTTCCTATTTTATTTCTTTCAAATATATTGTAAAGCAGAAATATTCAGATCATGTGTAGTATATAATCCAAAGTAGAGAAGTAAGAAATTTATCAAGATCCTGCCATTTGATTTTTAAAACAACTTTAAGATATAATTCACCTAGTATATAGTTCACCCATGTGAAGTTTCTTAGCATATTCTTAGTATATTCACAGAGTTCTGTAACCATCGCCACCATCAATTTTAGAACATTTTATGACCCTGAAAAGAAACTGCATCCCCAAGCCATCATCTGCCAGTTTCCCCCTTTTTACTCAGCTCTAGGGAACCACCAGTCTCCTTTGTTTGTATAGATTTGTCTACTGTGGAATTACACAATATGCTGTCTTTTGTGACTATTTGTTTCAGTTGGCATAACATTTTTAAGGGTTTTCTGTGTGGTAGCAGGTATCAGTACTTAATTTCTTCTTATTGCTGAGTAACATTTCGTTGTATAAATATACCAATCATTTTATTTATTCATTCATGAATCGATAGACCATTGGGTTGTTTCCAGTTTGGACTGTTATTAACAAAGCTGCTGTTAACTTTGATATGAAAGTGCTTGTGTTTGCATATGTTTTCATTTCTGTTGGGGTTATACTTATGAGTGGAAATGTTGGGCCATGTGTTAACTCTTTGAGAAGCTGCCAGTCTGTTTTCCAAACTGGCTGCACCATTTTACATTCTTATCAGCATTGTGAGGTGGTTCTAATTTCCCCACATCCTTGCCAAAATTTTCCATATTTTTGATTGAGAAAAGATTTTATTCTAGTAGTGCAATGTGGTACTTTACTGTGGTTTTAATTTGCATTTTTTGATGACTAATGATTTTAAGCATCTTTTTATGTGCTTATGAACCATTTGTATATCTTCTTTGGAGAAATATCTATTCAAATCCTTTGCCCATTTTTAAATTGTCTTTTTATTTCTAAATTTTAAGAGTATTTTTATATCCTAGGTGTAAATCCCTTCTCAGATACATGATTTTCAAATATTTACTTCTATTAAATGGCCTTCATCTTTACTTTCCTGATGGTGTCCGCTCAAGTTCCAAATTTTGATCAAGTCCAGTTAATCTATTTTTCCTTTTGGTGTTATGTCTAAGAAACCACTGGCAAATGCAGTCACAAAGATTTACGCCTATGTCTTCATCTAAGAATTTTATAGTTTTAGCTCTTACATTTAGCTGTTTTATTTTGAATAAATGTTTAGATATGGCATTTGGTGAGATAATACCATTTGTTGAAAATATTATTCTTTTCTCATTTGTTTTTTAACTATTGTTGAAAATCAATTGAACACAAATGTACAGATTTAATTTTGAATTCTCAATTTTAATATGTTGATCTCTGTCTGTCCTTGTTAACTAACATGTCTTGTTCAATTTGTATGATATAGAGCAGCATTTTGTTACAATATTAAGTTGAGATGGTCTTACCTTCTTAATACAAACAGGCTCAAAGTAAGGTAAAGGGGAAATTGTGCTTAATTTCTTAACATTCAAAGGACATATTTGTTTCGCTACTGAGAAGATTAAATATAGTTTCATAATACTCTCTTTATTTCCTCATTGAGGAAATGAACATAAACATCGAATACTAAATTGATTAATAAATACTCAAAGCTGCTTATCTCTTAGAATTTCAATGAATTGAAATCAGGTCAAATACCTGATTTTGGTTGGAAAATCAAATATTTCTAGTTTTTTTTTCCTTTTTTTGAATTATACTTTAAGTTCTGGGGTACATGTGCAGAACATGCAGGTTTGTTACATAGGTATACATGTGCCATGGTGGTTTGCTGCACCCATCAACCTGTTATCTACATTAGGTATTTCTCCTAATGCTATTCCTCCCATAGTCCCCCACCTCCTGAAAGGCCCTGGTAGGTGATGTTCCCCTCACTGTGTCCTTGTGTTCTCATTGTTCAACTCCCACTTTTGAGTGAGAGCATGCAGTGTTTGGTTTTCTGTTCTTGTGTTAGTTTGCTGAGAATGATGGTTTCCAGTTTCATCTGTGTCCCTGCAAAGGACGTGAACTCACCCTTTTTTATAGCTGCATAGGATGCCATGGTGTATATGTGCCACATATTTTTTTATCCAGTGTATCATTGATGGACATTTGGGTTGGTTCCAAGTATTTGCTATTGTGAACAGTGCTGCAATAAACATATGTGTGTGTGTCTTTATAGTAGAATGATTTATAATCCTTTTGGTATATACCCAGTAATGGGATTGCTGGGTCAAATGGTATTTCTAGTTCTAGATCCTTGAGGAATCACCACACTGTCTTCCACAATGGTTGAACTCATTTGCACTCCCACCAATAGTGTAAAATTGTTCGTTTCTCCACATTCTCTCCAGCATCTGTTGTTTCCTGACTTTTTAGTAATTGCCATTCTAACTGGCGTGAGATGGTACCTCATTGTGATTTTGATTTGCATTTCTCTAATGACCAATGGTGATGAGTTTTTTTTTTCCATATGTTTGTTGGCTGCATGAATGTCTTCCTTTGAGAAATGTCTGTTCATATCCTTTGCCCAATTTTTTTTTAAATTTAAGTTCTCTGTAGATTCTGAATATTAGCCCTTTGTCAGATGGAAAGATTGCAAAAATTTTCTTCCATTCTGTAGGTTGCCTGTTCACTCTGATGACAGTTTCTTTTGTTGCGCAGAAGTTCTTTTGTTTAATTAGGACCCATTTGTTAATTTTGGCTTTCGTTGCCATTGCTCTTGGTGTTTTAGTCATGGAGTCTTTGCTCATGCCTATGTACTGAATGGTATTGCCTAGGTTTTCTTCTGGGGTTTTTATGGTTTTAGGTCTTACGTTTAAGTCTTTAATCCATCTGGAGTTAATTTTTGTATCAGGTGTAAGGAAGGCATCCAGTGTCAGTGTTCCGTATACTGCTAGCCAGTTTTCCCAACACCATTTATTAAACAGGGATTTTTTTCCACATTGCTTTTTTTTTGTCAGGTTTGTCAAAGATCAGATGGTTGTAGATGGGTGGCATTATTTTTGAGGCCTCTGTTTTGTTTCATTGGTATATATTTATCTGTTTTGGTACCAGTACTGTCCTGTTTTGGTCTGTATGGTTTGAATTCAGGTAGTGTGATGCCTCAAGCTTTGTTCTTTTTGCTTAGGATTGTCTTGGCTATGCAGGCCCTTTTTGGTTGCATATGAAATTTAAAGTAGTTTTCTCCAATCCTGTGAAGAAAGTCAATGGTAGCTTGATGCTGATAGCATTGAATCTATAAATTACTTTGAGAAGTATGGCCATTTTCTTTCTTTTTTTTTTTCATTGTACTTTAGGTTCTGGGGTACATGTGCAGATCATGCAGGATTGTTGCATAGGTACACACATGGCAATGTGGTTTGCTGCCTCCATCACCCCGTCACCTACATCTGGCATTTCACCCCATGTTGTCCCACCCCTACCTCCCCACCCTCCTGCTGTCCCTACCTTGGCCCCCCCTCCAATGGACCCCAGTGTGTGATGTTCCCCTCCCTGTGACCATGTGTTCTCATTGTTCAACACCCACCTATGAGTGAGAACATGCAGTGTTTGATTTTCTGTTTTTGTGTCAGTTTGCTGAGAATTATGGTTTCTAGATTCATCCATGTCCCTACAAAGGGCACAAACTCATTTTTTATGGCTGCATAGTATTCCATGGTGTATGTGTGCCACATTTTCCTTATCCAGTCTATCGTTGATGGGCATTTGGGTTGGTTCCAGGTCTTTGCTATTGTAAATAGTGCCGCTATGGACATACATGTTCATGTGTCTTTATAATAGAATGATTTATAATCCTTTGAATATATATCCAGTAATGGGATTGCTGGGTCAAATAGAATTTCTATATCTAGGTCCTTGAGGAATCACCACGCTGTCTTCCACAATGGTTGAACTCGTTTACACTGCCACCAACAGTGTAAAAGTGTTCCTATTTCTCCACATCCTCTCCAGCACCTGTTGTCTCCAGATTTTTTAATGATTGCCAGTACGACCATTTTCATGATATTGATTCTTCGTATCCATGAGCATGGAATGTTTTTCCATTTGTTTGTGTCCTCTTTTATTTCCTTGAGCAGTGATTTGTAGTTCTTTTTGAACAGGTCCTCCACATCCCTTGTAAGTTATATTCCTAGGTATTTTATTGTCTTTGTAGCAATTGTGAATGGACATTCACTCATGATTTGGCTCTGTTTGTCTATTATTGATGTATAGGAATGCTTGTGATTTTTGTACATTGATTTTGTATCTTGAGACTTTGCTGAAGTTGCTTACAGCTTAAGGAGATTTTGGGCTGAGACTATGGGGTTTTCTAGATATACAGTCATGTTATTTGTAAACAGAGACAATTTGACTTTCTTTTTTCCTAATTGAATACCCTTTATTTCTTTCTTTTGCCTGATTGCCCTGGCCAGAACTTCCAATACTATGTTGAATAGGAATGG